CAATTCCTGCGATCCTCTTCAGGTTCGGCTGTGTTCAAAATGGATGAATGAATGGATCAGTTGGAATCCAGTATAATAATGTACATACAGAAGCACAGTCCGTATCTTGTCTCTTGCACTTTTTTTGTTGCACCCTACGCAATGTTGATTTCAGACCTTTAAGGATGATTGACATAATTCGTTGTTAACAGGGGACCAGGGCTGTGCGTTATCCTTCCTGTTTCAGGCATGCTGCCAGGTTGGGTCAGTGCTTTCACCATTGTTGGAGCCCTCAAGAAGGGCTTTCCGTAGTGTTCCTGTGCTTCCTAGGGAACTTTTCAGTTGGCTGAGGTGAAGGCGCAAGAAACGTTAGTTAGGGCTCGCGAGACAAGACTAGTTTTCAATTCTTACTCGGAACTTCATCATGCTTTGTGCTCCCGTGTGCCCTTCTGTTGCACCCCATTCCCAGCGTCCAAAGCAGTGGGGTGGGGGTCCTATGGCGAACTTCTGCTCCTCTGACCGGATGACTCCCAGGCAGTCCCAGCCTGTAGGTCCTGTCCCTCATTCCCCAAGGGACCCTAGAGGCTGGATGACCAGGTATTTAGACCTTGGGGCTAGCGACTGGTGAGTTTTCCTGTCAGCAGCTCAGTTACTTGGCTGCTCTTGCTTCGGACCGCCGGTGATCTCCACCCTGACCCATGGGTGAAGGATTGAGTTCCGATGACGACCCCTTGTCTCGAGCCGGTTCAAGGAGACCATCATCAATGACCCGGTGAAGGGCTTGCGGCTCGACCAGGAGCTCTCCACCCTCCCGGCCAAGGACACAATCAAAGCCGTGGGTTCTCTGGTGTACCCCGGAGAATTCGAGTCCCCTTTCTTCCCTCTATCAGAGAACAGGGGCGGGTACGGGCCAATCCTGAACTTGAGAGAACTCAATCATCATCTTATGATGTTAACTTTTCACATGCTAACTAGAGCCAACGTTTTATGGGAAGCTGCCCGATGAGAGGATGGCTACTTTCATGTCCCTATAACACCTCATGACAGGTGTTTTCCGACGGAGGTTGTCACAAGCAGTTCCAGATGCTTCCTTTCGGCCTTATCTTTTAAATTCTAACCAATTTAAAATACATTAATTTCGGGTACTTGAACAATAATGGCTAAGAATATAAAGAGAGAAAAATGAGTGGAATAAACACCACTATTGTGATCCAATTGTCATATTTATTAACCATGAGAGTTGCACCTGTTTTTCACCATGGCCACAGCAGCCAACAACGCACTTAAGTGTCTTGGGCAAAGCCCGGCAGTGCTCCACCGCTGATAAAGTGCTCCTTTTACACGAGGTTTCTTTTGGGCCGGCTGTTACAATGACCACATCTGGCTATGACAGATGACTTGTAACTTGCCAATGCATCATTGAAATGTGGGCCCAAGCAAGAAAAAACAAAATGAAGTGTACAGCTGTTGCCTATAAGAGAGCCTGAAAGAGCTCCTACAACCCCCTCAACGCACATAAATCATAATGTGTGCGAGTGTGTGTCAGTGAGAGACAGACACAGAGAGACAGAAGCAGAGAGAGAGAGAGAGAGAGAGAGAGAGAGAGAGAGAGAGAGAGAGAGAGAATTAGACAGGTAGAGGTAGTTCAATTGAGTATTATGTTCGAAACATCATTTTTGCAGGTTGTCTTGGAAATCAAATAGCTGTGGTCAATTTAAATAATTTCATATTTGATAACTGGGTGGCCCAGTAGTCGAGTGGTTAGCACGTCGACTTCACAGTGCAGAGGTACCGGGTTCAATTCCAGCTACGGCCTTCCTGTGTGGAGTTTGCATGTTTTCCCTGTGCCTGGGTGGGTTTTCTCCGGGTCCTCCGGTTTCCTCCCATATTCCAAAAACATGCATGGCAGGCTGATTGAACACTCCAAAGTGTCCCTAGGTGTGAGTGTGAGCGCAAATGGTTGTTTGTTTCTGTGTGCCCTGCGATTGGCTGGCAACCGGTTCAGGGTGTCCCCTGCCTAATGCCCGAGGACAGCTGGGATGGGCTCCAGCACCCCCTGCGACCCTTGTGAGGATGAAGTGGTTCGGAAAATGAATGAATGAACAATGAAAACATTTGCAAATTGAATGTTTTTTATTCAGTTGACAAGTTTATGTTAATAACAGAGAGTTATCAGCAGACTAGCCAAGTGGACATGTTTTTGTTTTGTTTGTTTGGTTTTTTTAACCAAGCTGTTACTTTTTGGAATAACCATCCATGAGAGGCGATCGCTCTAAGACTGCAAGGGAAGCTCAGCTTCCCCTAAAATGTCAAAAAATAAGTGATCAAATATATGTGTGTATTTAGTCTCATTGACTAAATATGCAACTTTTGTTCGAATCAGCTTCTTCTTACTGGTTACGACGCGACTCTCTTCTCATTCATTCCCGCAGCTTCACTGTGCTTTAAACTGTGTGGACGCTGAGCGTCTACAGTCCATCTAGAGTAGGGGTGTCCAAAGTCGGTCCTCAAGGGCCGCTGTCCTGCCTGTTTTCCAGCTCTCCCAGGAGCAACACACCTGATTCAAATCATCAGGATCGTTCTAATGCTGCTTCAGAGCTGGCTGATTAGCTGATCATCTGAATCAGGTGTGTTGCAACCGGAGATGAAAAACAGGCAGGACAGTGGCCCTCCAGGCCCCGAGCCGGACATGTCTGGTCTAGAGAGTTCGAAGCCCGTTGTCCCAATGCATTGAAACGAGACGAGTCATTGGATAAATGCTGGTTTTGTCCTGCCCATAGGACGCTCAGCGTCTCTGGTCGTCAATGGACAGTGGGCGTTTATAGGCTGGCCCGGAAGCTCAACTTTTTTGCATGATGATTGGATGATCTGTCTGAGGCTGAACCTCTTTTTGATTGACAGCGAAATGAGCCAATCACCGATCTTTTGGTGTAGGCATCTGTGGGAGCATTTTTCAATTCTCATTGTGTTCTGAGTTGAACTGGAGACTTCTTCCAATCATTTTAGCGACACTCTGTTGAAAATGACTAGCAACAGATTAATCTTTTATTTCTGGTGTGTTTTATTAAATTTGCTTGTGTTCGCAGACTGACTTATATCACCACAGTTAAGATGCTGAAAAAGAGGCCTTGTTGGTATGACGGTCATAGATCCCCCAGTGGACCGGAATTTCCTCGAAGCTGTCGGGAAGTCGTTCTCCATGGCCAAGCCCAAGTTTTTACCACAGCCACCACCAAAGCTGCGTTGCCCTTGGCCAGCTGCAACCCATCAGCTGCCTCCCACAGGCTAAAAAGGACTCATTCAGTTTGACAGCATCCTTCACTGCCAGTGTCCTCCAACAGGTTTGGGGATTGGTGCCGCAGAATGCATCGACCCCCTTACAGCCACAGTGCCGGTCACGTTCATTGAGTGACACTGCCAGTGCACACGGCACGGATGCTGTTGTCTCTCATTTAAGAAATGTCTGTGAAAACTGTGGGAAAATAACAGGAGCTTCTGACACAGCCTCTTATTTTTTTATTATTTCACATGAACCACATCCGATGACAGCGTGAAAGCTTTTTTTCTTTTCTCAAGCCAGCTTTGAAGATCATACACCATTGATTGAACTGCTGCTTGCAGCTCGTCAATGCATAGTGGAGAGACAAGTCATTGTTGAGGTATGCATTGTGGGCCCTTGGCTTCCTAATGACACCAAACGCAAACACGTGCCCATGTACATCAGCCTGTGCTTGGAATTACTTTGGAGAAATGGAATGAACGTGAATGAAGAGAATCCCTTGTAGAACACAGCAATGAACAGCACCTGATGAGCATCCAGAGACCGGCGGAGGACATTTTTACATCCCTAATAGAATAGCACCGAAAGAGGTCAGCATTAAATTATAAAACTTTATTAAAAACCTTGTAAGAGTAACAACAGAAGACTAGTCAAAGTGGCTCACATGCTTCAATTCGCCATGAGTGCTTCTCACGTGCCCGTTGCATACATGTCACTCAAAGCAGTGTGATGAAAAAGAGCAATTCAACCCTGCTAATATACTGGATATTCAATTCCAGAGTTGGATGGAAAGGGTTCAAATTACAGTGGAGGCGACAAAAATGAAAAGGAATCAAACCGTTAAAAAAATGAATTCAAATTTTTTTTATCTTAAAAAAAAAAAATCGCCATAAAAGCAAATCACCCACACACACTCGCGCGCACACACACTCGCGCGCGCACACACACACACACACACACACACACACACACACACACACACACACACACACACACACACACACACACACAAAACAGTATTCGGAAAAGTGCACGGTGTTCCTGCCAGAGTCATCTAATAATAGTCCAATGGTTATTTTTTTTGTTTTTTCGTTTTTTGCAAATGAAAGCAGAAAAATGCTGTCAAGTATTAAAGATCAGTCAAGTCTCATTGACGCTGTACACGATAAGACCAGTGATAACATTATTTGACCTAAAAATACAGAATACACATTGACATCCTTACCCTCATTGATCCCCTCCACCTGTGTCAACGCATCTCCCTCTGTGACTTGCTCATAACTCGCTCTCTGCTGTTCTGACCTTGTTCGAGACATTCAGTTAGCATTAGACTCCGTAATGACGGCATGGAGGAGAACTATGAACCGCTTGGTTCGAGGAGCTTCCAAATTAAGTATTCCGCAGGTTTCAATAAGGCAAAAAGTTGTGTCCTCACTCACCGATATCTTTAGTATATAACGCTGTCGTCCATCGTGTCACGATGGAGCTTATTGTGAAAAGGTACGGCCCCGTCTTCTCAACAAGCAACCTATTTGACGATCTTGACAGTGCCGATGGGACGGTTTTTATGCACCGTTAAAATGACCCTGAAGCACATTGCGAGAATGTGCTCGCAAAGACCGTGTCATGTGCTAGTTGAGAACAGTCATTCTCATCTGGTGTCAAAAATAAAACGAGAAAGATTTGGTGTGGAGAATTGCTTTTACTTTGAAATGCTGGCATGGTAAATGTCCACCTTGTCTTTTTTTAAGGACACCAAGTATTAAAAGTCATTTGATGTGCAGTACAGTCATGTGTGGGTCTTTTTTTTTTTTTTTTGCGGTAGTAACTTTTAATTCATGCAATTGCCGTGTTTCTCCTTGATTAGTGCAATTTGACTGTCCTCAATAAATGGTGTGGAACGTGCCTTTCCCATGCTTCTAGACATCCTGTATTTTTTTTTTTGTTATGAAGGATGTCATGTCAGATATTTCAAGGCTATTTCAACTGAAATATAAATGTGCTCAGATTAGACATCAACAGGAGACCAGTTGAGAAGCCGCGCTCGAGAGTGCGCCACGCCAAGCGTGAGCCATTAAGGTCCACACATACATGGATATTAAAAAACAAACAAACAAAAAGTACATTTTCCTTGCCCCAGGATTTTTGACAATATATAACCACCACGCACCTATCAAGTCTGAAATTAAACAACCAAGTAAATCTTTTGTTAGCTGCCTGTTTTCCAAAATGTGTCGGTGAGCAAGCCCTTTTAAACTTCGAGGGGTTGTGACCTATCAGTGCAGCTAATTTGCATAATTCCGTTCCCACAATGAGTCTCTCCTCCCATGACTGGGGAGCTAGGCTCTCTGAAGATCCACCAGTTTTGAGCCACTGATGGACTAACTACACAGAAGCACTACCGTGTCAAGCCAAAAGGTAAGCAGTGCTGCAGATGAGCATTAGTTCACGTTAACTGGCTAACTGGCACTTACTCAAAATTTCAGCTAAGTGGCTGACACAGAGGAGGGGTACATTTGTGTTTGTACATTTGTCCGCTGCATGCACCATATGCACAGATCTACTATACTAATTGACAAATGTAATTTGACAGCTTGGTGATGAAGGGCTACCTCCACCGGTGAAAACACAAATGACGCTTTTACTTCTTCATGAAGGCTCGCTTTTCTCTTTGAAAACAAAAAGCCGCTCATCTTGTCACAGTGCATAAGCGCCGCCCCTGGTCATTGTGGTCACAAAGATGCGAATCGATTGACCCAGCAATAAAGAGGGGAGCGGCAGCTGTGGCTCACTTCCACGAGACAGGACCTTGAAAACAGGTTAATTTCAGCGAGGGGGGAAAAAAAAAATGAAGGTGGGTATAGTGTGACCTAATTCTTGAAGACTGGGATATTTTGACGAAAGCATTTCACTGGAATGTTATTTAGACACCTGGACATTGCTTTGAATTGGGTGGAAGTGCAAAAAAACTTTAATGGCATCTAATTTTGTCAATATCCGTGTGGGTGCGGCCTTAACATGCAGCGGGCTGCCCTACTAAAGGCTCCTTTGTGCAAGAATTGTGCAGGAATCTCCCCCTCCCCCCACTCCCCAATTTGTGCTGTCAAATGAAAACCCTGTTCAATTATTAATTCAATGTTGTGTGGGCCGCTGTCGGCGGGCTGCGGCAGAAGACGATTCTTTTTTCTATTTTTTTGTCGTGATAGGACATGAAAAAGAGCAGCTAAATGGTCACAAAGCAATTAGCCCTCATCTTAACTCTCCTGACTGCCATTCAAGTGCATTTTCAGGACGTTTTTTTGGAACATGCGCTCCCATCGTGCACATACCAGGACACCCCCTGTTGGCGGCATCTGTTAATACTGAAGCGGAGGTTTGCCCCTGGGACGGCAGCAAATATGGAAGGGAGAGCGTGTTCCCTTTGAGCCAGGCCGGACAGAAGTGGACTCCGAGGTGCGAGGACTTAAAGTGCGAGGGGGAGGAGGAAAGTTCCACCTCTTCTCGGTAGCTCCAGTCGGTGCGCCTCACTGCTATTGAGAGGTGAGTGCCCTTTATGAGGGCGAGGGGGGACAATAACAATAAAAAATATAAAATAAAAGTCTGGATGGATTGTTGACATGGAAAGCAATGAATGAATGGGAGAATGCAAGGCATTAAAAAAGATGAGCAATGACGAAACGAAGGAAGCCCGCTTTGATTGCTCGTAACGTTCTTCCCCGCCCCCAGATCACATGTTATAGGCCACATAGATGGGGTCAAGCTGGTCGGCCAGGAAGGAGTCGCGCAGGTGCATCCGCTGCTTCTCCCCTCGAGAGTTGATGGGGATCACGCCCGGGTCCACGATGACCACGACGCCCACGATGAGGTGGTGCTCCTCTAGAACCACGTTGGTGACGAGGGGAACCAGGTCCAAAGCCTCCTGCTCGGAGCCGCTCAGCTCGGCCACCACCACCAGGAGGTTGGTCCACGTGAACACGGCACTGAAGAGAACACACGCGCAAGTCTGATGTCAAGGAACACTTGGCATCCGCGCACACTTCAAATTCCCACTCACAGTTTCAGATTATTCCTCCAAACGGGGAATAATCATGCGTTTACCAGAAGAATAAATACAGGAGTCGAGTCCCGGACTGGGTACCTGATAGGTGACCCACAAAAACACGATTTGTGGGTCATGGTACCTGTCGAAAAGATTGAAACTAATTTGACGATACGCATATGTTAAACTAAGGCGTGTCCTCTAATGAGCATCACACCAGTCTTCAAACTTGTATTCATTCAGTCGGCCTATTTGTCGTCACCATGTTGTTTGGGGCATGGTGCGTACCATACTGAACACTGACCAGAGAAAGTGAAGGAGAACGTTGTCTCTGGGGATAAGAACTGAAATTACAAAAAAGCTTATTCAAGGAAAAGGCTCGAAAACCATAATTCAAAAGCAATGATTTTCATCACTTAGTTTTCCATAAATTATTATATTTTCCTTGGATTCAAGTTGGGCGGCACGGTGCTCAACTGCTGAGCACAGCCACCCACCCGTGCAGAGGCGCATGGTTCGATTCCGGCTTCGGACATCCCGTGGTGGAGTTTGCATGTTCTTCCTGCGTTCAAGTGGTTGTTCAAGTGGACCAGGTGCCTTTTAGGAGCACCAACTTGTGGAAAGATTTTTTTTCCCCTCCACCTTGAACTTATAAGTCCAAGTACAGATCCAGACTTACTGATGAACATCTTCAAGCCACATTCAACTGCTCCCTCCCTCAATCCAAATGTGGCTCTGCTGTGTGAGATGAAGCGCTGCTAGCTATCTGGCACCGCCAATAATGATGTTTGAGAAGATTTTTGTGATTTTTGGCCGGTGGGGCAGGAACATCTGATGTGGCCCGATCTCAGCCAGACCATGCCTCCTGCAGGCTCCCCAGGTAATTTGAGTTTGATACCCCTGGTCCCTATTTTATCCATCCATCCATCCATTTTCTGAACCGCTTTATGCTCACAAGGGTCGAGGGGCATGCTGGAGCCTATCCCAGCCGTCTTCGAGCAGTAGGCAGGGGACACCCTGAACCGGTTGCCAGCCAATCACAGGGCACACACAGAGACGAACAACCATCCGCGCTCACACTCACACCACGGGACAATTTGGAGTGTTCGTTTAGGATATCAGATATCACATATTGATCGTGACAGATTTTTTTTAAATGCATTTATTTTTTTAAATGTAGGTTATTTTGAATCATCGTGCGATGGCGGCTCACATCGATTTGGTGAAGTATCGGTGTTTGGCAATGTGTCTGTTGCATGGGCCATATGCATGGACCAATTGGTAACTCCACCTTGAACTTATAAGTCCAAGTACAGATCCAGACTTACTGATGAACATCTTCAAGCCACATTCAACTGCTCCCTCCCTCAATCCAAATGTGGCTCTGCTGTGTGAGATGAAGCGCTGCTAGCTATCTGGCACCGCCAATAATGATGTTTGAGAAGATTTTTGTGATTTTTGGCCGGTGGGGCAGGAACATCTGATGTGGCCCGATCTCAGCCAGACCATGCCTCCTGCAGGCTCCCCAGGTAATTTGAGTTTGATACCCCTGGTCCCTATTTTATCCATCCATCCATCCATTTTCTGAACCGCTTTATGCTCACAAGGGTCGAGGGGCATGCTGGAGCCTATCCCAGCCGTCTTCGAGCAGTAGGCAGGGGACACCCTGAACCGGTTGCCAGCCAATCACAGGGCACACACAGAGACGAACAACCATCCGCGCTCACACTCACACCACGGGACAATTTGGAGTGTTCGTTTAGGATATCAGATATCACATATTGATCGTGACAGATTTTTTTTAAATGCATTTATTTTTTTAAATGTAGGTTATTTTGAATCATCGTGCGATGGCGGCTCACATCGATTTGGTGAAGTATCGGTGTTTGGCAATGTGTCTGTTGCATGGGCCATATGCATGGACCAATTGGTAAGCGTAATTGGGTGGGTGGCTTGGTGACGTGCTGCCTCTAACAGATATCCATTTTGAAAACACCTGTAAACAGTTTTCAAGTGTCAGAATTTTTGTTGACATTTTTCACACTTCTAATATCTTTCCACATTCAAGTTTGACGTCATACATATTGATGTCTTGTTTCAAGGCCATCACGACCTTGAAGTCAAAACGTCAAACTTGAATTTTGTCGTGCCACGCGTGGCGATTCAACTGCAGCATGTAAACCTGCCGAGCATGTACGGCAGCTCACCTCTCTGCGATGCTGCGATGAGCTCGAGACACGGACGTCTCAATGTCAATGGGGTGGTAACGTAAGCCCCTTAGTTCCAGGGTCTCATCCAGTGATCCCACTACAAATAAAGCGTCATGGCGATCTGCAGCAGGAAAGCAAAAAGTCCAATTCTATGCAGCACATTTCATACACAAGGCAATTCAATGTGCAAAGCAGAGAAAACAAAGGTAGCTTACGAAAAATTTACGAGGAAGAAAAAGAATTACAACTGTTTCGGGGATATCTGAGGTATGAGGAAAAAAAGGAAAGGTTTTAAACTGGATTTATAAGCATCGTCGCTAGCTTATTCCATTTGTGTGCTCAATCTTATGTCATTTAGTACTTTAATAAGAGTTGCTACTGGACTGTGATGAAGTCAGAATCTTGATTGGAATTGATCAAAAAGTCAGTTTGGCTTCAAGAATTTGGTGAACTGATTTAAAAAAAACACTTTCTCGACAATCTTGGACAAGAAAGGAAGGTTTCAGATGGGTCTATAAATTACGAACAAGGAGTCATCCACCTTTCTCTTTTTGAGAAGGGCCTTGATGGCGGCTACTTTCAGGGGTTTAGGAAACTTGCCTGACTGAAGTGAGTCGATTATTTACTGTAACTCGGTTTTGAAAAAGTCAGATAGTATTGAGTCAAAACAGCTGGTTGATGGTTTCAACTGCTGAAACAAATCTGTTTTTTTTTTTTGATCCACGGTATCAAATTCTGCGATGATAATTGAATTATTCCCGGGTGATTTTGAAATTTTGCGGGTTTGTGACAATGTTAGACCTGATTGATTGTACTTTTTCACAAAAGTAGCAGGCAAATTCGTTGCATTTATGTGTTAAGACAAGTTCCGCCACTATTCGATTTGAGGGATTTGTGAGTAGGTCGACCACAGCAAAAAGAGCTTATTCTTTAGGTTCTGACTAATGATTTAAGAAAAGCGTTGTCTAGCTTAAACTAACTTTTTGTTAAAAGTACAAAGACATTGTCTGGACAGGTCAAAATGGACTTGGAGTTGAGTTTTTCCTCACTTCCGCTCTGGTTTCCTGCATTTTAATTTCAAAGTCATTACGCTCGTAGTGTATCACTAAGGTGTTTTAAGTCGACTTATTTTTCATCGGAGCAAGAGCATCCAGGACATTTGAGATTTTCCAAGGGACTTTATGCAGAAGTTCATCGACAGCCTCTGCATTCACAGATCTGTTATATTCTATTGACAGTTTAAAAACAGGAGCTTACCTCCGCTAGCATCCAGGAGCTCGGTTCTCTTGATGAAGCCCAAGTAGCCCGTTTTGGCCCACAGCGTGTTGGGATCCCCAAAGCTGAGTCTAGTGTTGAAGTGGTCCGCCTGCAGACTCTCCTCGCCGTAGATGGTGTAGTAGCCACTCGCACTGTGGGGACTGTTCACCCAGATCTACACACACACATGTGCGTACACATATATACACACACACAAATCGAACTAAGTTTTGACTCACAAAGTCAGGCAGTTGACATTTTATTAAACACCCAACCTCACAAACGCAGAAGTGCACGCACACACACAAAGATGCATCAAAATGAAGCTAACGGACTAGATACGGTAAGTCATAATTACAGTAAATTTATACATTTGGGGAAAAAATTTGAATTCTACACCAAAAATATAAAACAAAAAACAAAACAAAACCAAACAAGTTCATTGCGTTCCATCTGTAACCTTGAATCACCGTATGTCATCGGAATAGTAATCCATAGACCTGCTGTAAGGACGAATGAGTAGGGGCAATAAACAGCTTTCTTTTTTTTAACATAACATTAAATCAATCACTGATGTCACCTCTCATGTTTGTTTCACATGTAATAAACATATGACACGTCCCCAGTCTACATCTTCACTTGGTGCTCCTTCTTGTTAAACATTACAACCGGACGCACTCAAATAGACGACACCAGAAAATCAATGGCCGTGTCCTACTGTGGACACTGTTCCCTATAAAATGCACTATCAAGGGGTTATGCCATTTTGTACGGGTCACCCAATGTCCAGGGAGGACAAACGTAGGCCACTCAATACTACTCGCGATGCATTTGGCAAAGTAGTGTGCATTGATGCTCACTCAACAGCTTCAACTAGACCGCAATGCATTGCACGCTGGAAAACAACAGGGCACAAGCGCAAACATGAAAGGGATACTTTAGCTATAGACCACGGAAATCATGTATTCGTTTTTAATTGAAAATATGTTCAGTTTAATATAAATACTGTATGTTTTATTCCCAATAAATAGTCAGAGATCTTAATGCACCGGTGCGTCATTACAGGTCCGGTGGTCACGTCATTTGCAAAAGCGGAGCGAGTGGTGAGCTGGCTGTCCGAATCACAAAACAGAATGAGGGCAGTTACTATATAAAGCGCGACATATCGTACAAGACTATATGACTATATGAAGAAGGGGTTCGGCAATAAGGGTGGACATTCGGACACAGCATTTCCTTTGTTCACGAAAAAAGGACCCGGATACCGACTGAAAGTCCAGTTGAACCAATGGTAAGTTTTTGCAATCGTCTCGATCCACTTACCTCGCCGAGGTGGGAGTCTCCCAGCGGTCCTCGGGTCTCTGGGTTGACGATGATGACTCGCACCCCTGGTAAAATCTTCCAGCAGAACACAATCAGCGTTTAGCTGCTGGGTTTGCGTCATGGTGTCAATCTAGCAATAATCAACACTCACAGTGCCCGACTCCATGAGCGGAAGACTCTGTGGCGCCCCCCGTTCCACCAGCCTCACCCTGAGTGACACAGACACGTTTTCATAACGGTAGTGTCACAAAAGTAGCGTTGAGCATTACCTGTCATGACGTAACGACTTCATGTCAACGTAGACGGTGGAGGGGTCTGGTCCAGCCGTGCCCTGTAACACGGCCAGGAAAACCCCCAAAAAAGGAAGCATACAGACAGCCATTGAGTATGTAAACCGTCAAGAAATTAATGAATTGAGCGTCAAAATTCACACCTGCATACAGACAGCCAGGTTGACCCTGGAGCCGAAAGCGGTACTGACGGCTCGTGATGATAGGCCGACATCTTTGAAGAGCTTGGAGAAGGACTGCGTGAGAGCAAGTCGGGGCCGCTCCTCAGCTATCACCACGCAGCTGCGCACGCATGACAAATTCACACCACGTGCCTGTAAACGTACAGGTGCACACAGCTGAAGTCTTGTCTTGGACAGCAACATGTTAATTATGAGCTATGAGAGAAACATGGACAAAATATGCACGGTGGCAGACGACTGCCTTTATCGCAACGGGCACCATCCAATTGTCTTTGGTACTCTGTATGTCACATATTATGACCACAAAAGTTGTTCAGCAAAACTGCTTTGCTTTCTTCTTGCAGATGAACGGATGGGCTACAACTTTCTGACAACCCCCGTCATCTTGCCTTACTGCGGTGGCATCCAATAGGAATTAGAGCTGTAAACATTGATGAATGGGCCCTGAAATCCCCTTTTAAATGGTGAAAGCTCCAAATGCATTCAATGCTTCACCCACATGAGATGGCGTCAGGGAAAAAAAATATTTTCACTTGTACACCGTCCATCTTTTTGGGATAACTACTTCCCACTGCAGCCCATTAGGACAAATTCCTAAGTAGGAGTTAAAGTCAAAGTTCGAGTCTTGTCATTTGTCTAAAATGGCCAATGGCATTAGCAAATTGGTGCCGTTGTTAAATCCAGCTACTTTCATCTTAGGCAGCTGGCTAAAGTAACACCTGTCCTTTCTAATGAGCACTTTGAGGCAGTATTTCATGCCTTCGTCACATCACGGCTGGATTACTGTAATGCAATTTACTTTGGAGTCAGCCAATCCTCCATTAAACGTCTCCAGCTGGCCCAGAATGCTGCTGCTCGCCTCTGGACAGGTATTCGTAAGAGGGAGCACATCTGGGATCCCTTCACTTGGTCCTGATACATTTTAGAGTTCTTTTTAAGATCCTATTATTTGTTTTAAATGGCCTCGCGCCACCTTACCTCTCTGAGCTCATCCGCCCCAACACACCTGCCTCAGGTCTGCGGACCCAGACATTATTAGAAGTACCAAGAACTAAGCGGCGGCTCAGAGGGGATCGAGCCTTTTCCGTTGCTGGTCCCTCTCTCTGGAATGACCTCCCACTGAATATTCGGCAAGCCCCCTCGCTGCCCATCTTTATAACTCGTCTCAAAACTCATTTGTATTCTATGGCATTTGACATGGCATGACTCAGACTTGATCTTAGTCTTACTCTTTGGTGCGTTTCCTGTTTTTGTTACTAACTTGTTGTTTTATTGTTGTATATATATCATATTTGCTCCACGTACAGCACTTTGTATACAGCGGTGGGTGTTTTAAAGTGCTCTATAAATACAGTTGAGTTGAGAAAATTGGAAGAACAATAACATATACAATCATACTTATACATTCATTCCCAACTATTATGGAAACAACAACAAGAGCCAGATTAGATGCATAAAACCAAATGAGATCAACACAACTGACAATGACATTAACCCTTTGGGGGACAGCGGTTACTACAGTGGACAGCTTCTCATGTTATCAGTTTACAGGGTGCATGAAAGGGTTAAATAAGCGCGTCTTTCGGGACAGGACTTTTTTTGTGTTGAGTGACAGTGTTTCACAAAGACAGCAAAGACAATAGAGAAACTCCAACCTTCAGCAGCTCCGTCTGGGTCCCAAGGCCTTTGGTGCAGAGCTCCATGACTGAGTAGGAGCAGAAGGTGTCTCGAATCTTGTACTGACTGAGTGTGCTCAGCCACAGAGGAAGTGAGCTCTCCAGCTCCAAGGGAGGGATGAGGATTGACTGGTGACCTGAGTAAACACTGTCCACCACCAACACAGTCACTTTTGCAACAATCGCACTGCTCGTCATCATTGATACAGCCTTTTACGTACCTGGAGAGGCACCACAGGACAAAGCCTAGGCCGCAGTATGGGTCCAGGCAGATGGCTATTTGGCGTGAGGAGTAGAGTTCACACTGCAGCTTGATGGAACGACACAGAGTGCTGACTGCAGCATGAGACATCTAATAACAAAACACAACAATCCAAGTGAGATACTACACACAAGCAAAACATTTGGCAACAATTAGGCTACATATAGTGCCACCTTGAAGTTTGGGCATGTGTTCCGCGTTGCAAATGCTCAGCCAACCACCATCCGGTTGACTTTGGAAACAACATTTCCCATTGAGAGCAATTATATTTCAAACTCTGAAATTATTACACCGATTGCCTCAATAGTTTGGATTTTATGGATGGAAAGCATTTTTGTCAGAAATGACATTAAGGTGTAGCTATGGAGTGTGAACACAAACTCCAGAACACCGGGGTGATGGTTCTGATATTTGCAGTGGTCGAAGTTGCCAAAAGTAGAGATGTTTACATCAGTTTTGTTGAAGATTGATTGCAGTTTTCTGACCTGAAACCCCTCAACTGATGTTAAGCTTTTTACAGGAAGTGTGAAACTGTGGCGGTCATGGTGTGGGAAGTAGTAGGTTTGGCTGGGTCCTCCGTCTGCTTTAAGCTAACTAAGACTCTGTCCAACCACTTTTAACCAAACATGTCCGACTTTATTACTGTATGGGTATTGATATGCCTCAGAGCGTTCGAGATTGCTCATTGCTTCACCATCTGAAGCGACTCAGGTCATAAAGTACCAAAACATGCGACTGTACGTTTTCATCCTCCTATCCTGCTCTATAAGAAAGAAGCCAGATTGAAACGTTTTCTCTTTTAAGCTGCACCAAATTGGCATTCACGTGTTGTTTAAGGCTCTAACTGTCATAAAAAGTGGACGAGTACAGTTTCCATGTGAACAAAACGCCGGCCTGTTTTGTGCAAACAGTGTAAAAAGGAGTTTGCATATACCACCAAAGCACTTCAACTGTCCAGTACCACAGACATAAAGTACAGATGACATGCCTCCTTGAGCTACATTCAGTGGGGGCAAGGAGTCAGCACATTTCACGGCTGTGCACTTCACTAAAACCAAAATAACAAGGACGCTTGCACACCGGTACACGCAATGTTGTATAATCACAACGGGGAACTTGGAATAATTTTAAGATTATTTGTTGGTCTCTTTGTTCACATGCTGTAATGCAGGGGTGTCCAAAGTCTGTCCTCAAGGACCGCTGTCCTGCCTGTTTTCCAGCTCTCCCAGGAGCAACACACCTGATTCAAATCATCAGAATTGTTCTAATGCTGCTTCAGAGCTGGCTGATGAGCTGATCATCTGAATCAGGTGTGTTGCAACCGGAGAGATGAAAAACAGGCAGGACAGAGGCCCTCCAGGCTCCGAGCTGGACATGCCTGCTTTAATGTTAGCAATAGCAAAAAAGTAAACTTCTTGAAAGTCAATTTAGAAATGGGTTTGACATATTTTATTATTTATTATTGATTTTGATGGGAAAATTTCTCCGACTAACGTAGCCAATCTGTCAACTTCTATTCCTATCGGTGGCCGGTATCATCTGCATGCAAATGAGGTCACAGTGAGCACACAAACTACTGGAGCTGTTCGCGCAAGCCGTCCCGGTACGAGTTTGAAGTCCACCGAACTTGAGCAAAGGACTGACTGGCTTCATGACGAAACTACAATCAAAATATGTTTTTTTAAATGCTTTGTATTTAAATTAAATTGAAATACAATTAAATGCAGTTTCAGGGTTTGAAAATATTCACGATCAGTGGTTGTTTTAGTTGCCCATTAAAACACATTTTTACAGCACAATACACACCGTTTTTTAAAACATTGCACAAATGAAATACACGCATTAAAAAAATATACTAAAACTAATAAAGGCAAAACCAAATCGAAGCATTTTCAAAAAAAAAAAAAAAACTAATTTAAAAAAAAAAACTGAAAAAATGCAAAGCTCAAAATGAAATTAAAATGAACTCTAATGTAAATTCCCAAATTATTGTTTACACTGGTGGTCAGTCATCAAAATGTCTGCTGGGCGCTGGGCATCATCTTCGACAGCAGGTTGAAATGAGGTTTAGTGAGGTGCTACTCCCGATGTGTCATGATGTTTTCCCAATTATTTTACAGTCATATTTTGGCTCAACAATATTGTCAAATTGTTCAAGGCAGAAAAGCATATACAGTATTGGTCACAATTATTTAGCTCATCCACAGTATAAAGAATGTATTTTAATTCAAAGTGTGCAAATCGTTACCTTTACTCCAGTTAACATGCCTGTGGTAGACACACTGAAGTCCAGGTAAGCCAACATCTCGGCTGTTGGGGGCTTATAGATCTGCGGTGGCCGCTTTCTGGGTAGATCATCTAAGAGGAGAAAACTTTTAAAACACTTTTTAAAAATATTTATTTCTAATAATTGTGTACTGTTGTGGAAATTGGAGGGCTACAAAAAAGTACAAATCAATAATTTTGTACGGTGTTGGATTATTTTAGGCCAAGAGAAAAGGACTTCAATGGAAATGGACACTCGGCTGAAACAGAGAACACCTGCCACCCCCCAATTAAATTGAGGTTCCACTGAAAATGATTTTTTTTTAAATCCGTTACCCTGCGAACACATGCAAATGGCCCACCTGTGTCGATGATGGCGGGCCATGTTTTGACATTCACGCTGGCGGCAGCTTCCCGGGACCTGAGGATCCTCATGAGTGGCTGAGTGGTCAGGATGCAGGCTGCTTTGCTCACCTGGAACACATAGCAAGCAATTAACCACACACCCACACACTCTCAAAAAAATAATAGCCAGTGATCAAATGTGTTTTGGGACCAAGGTGGCACCGACTCACGTCAATGGTCATGCGGACAGTGGGGAGAGTGGCAGCCAGATTCTGTGGGTGGGGCGGCCTCACAGTCACAGGGATGACGCCGGCATAGAGGCAGCCATAGAAGGCAGCTATCAGGTCAATGCCTGCATGCAGAAGGAAGATACACAGGCTATTAACATAAAATAGATAATAATATTACTTGAATCACTTAATCGACTCAAGGAGACAATGCATTGGTTCCCACTTGTTGTAATGTGACATCTTTACATTAAAACACACAAACAATCGAGAATTACAGAACACACAGTTTTGAAGCTAAGACTGTCTCACACAAATGAGCCATTGCTCAACCCGCTTTCGCTACCATGAGGACATGGGTGGAAGCTATGTATGGCTCTGCAATGAGGCGAGTGGCTACTTGAGGTCAAACAGTCCCAAGTCTGAAGAGAAAATGAAGGCTCCATTACGATGAAGTAAAATCATCATTTGAATTTCCATTTTTGGCGCACTTCATCACCAAGCCAGCTTGTCACTTCATGTGGCAAATCCGTCTATGTGGCACATGCAGAAGAAACATCGCCAAGTACAAATACCTCAGCCCAACTTTTTCACTAAACACACGGCAAATATGTCCTGGCAATCGAAACTGACGCTGTTTGTGAATGCTTAGTGAATGCACTTTTTCCTCTGCTACAGTACAAGTCAAGTTATCAAAACATACGGCAATAATTTCTACCCTCAAGCTTTGGACAAGTGTTCTTTTCTACAAGGTGTATCTTATGTTTTGTACACTTATCTAGATTGCTTCAATAGGGGTGTTCACACGGCACACATTTGCATCGGTGCTGCACTGACGTATTTTGTTGCGATATATCTTACACCGGTGTAAATTTTGTGAAGCATTCACAAGTAAAAAGCTACTTACTAAAGAGAAGTGTGTTAACCCCGGTGCAGCCCCACTTGCGTTCACACAGCAGTTTCTGCGGCCGTGCAATACAATATAATATTGTATATTACAATATAATAATACGGAAATAAAACATGGGCATGCGGAACGTGTACTTCCTTTTCCCCGCCTTGTTTGTGACATATCGAAAAACCATGGTTTATACTTCTCCAGACAAATCAACGCTGTGGTCTATCAGACACCGTAAAAGGATGAGAGAAGAGAGAAAGGAAAGATGACGGAAGTGCAACAGAGCACGAAAGCAACACATTCAATACCCGTATGTAATCAACTCTTCTCACGCGTAGCGAGTCTACCCTGTAGCGTTCACACGTCCCATTTTATATCGGTGCTGCCTCGCAAACTAGCATTTACTCCGGAGTAAATTTTTAAACCACCTCCTGAGCGGGGTTAAATTTGCTCCGGTTTAAGCTGTTTTCAGGGGCTACACCGGTATAACTTTGTACGTGTGAAGGCTCTACGGGGGGCAGCACCGGTGCTACACCGGAGTAAAAGTTGCCGTGTGAACACCCCTAATGTTACCAAATATCATACCAAATTGGCTCAAAAAAATGAAAAGCTCTTTCACAGCTGGGATGAATCGATTTTCAGAAGAGCTGGTTTGAAAGTTAGACTCATTCGCGAAAGTCACAACACAAGTATAAACCACTTCCTGCATGACTCAAAATTGTTGCAATATTAAATCAAAGGCCAGGGTCCATCTGTTCATGAGATCCTGGTCACGAGCTTATCATTCATTATTTGGTCGGCTAGAAACGTGATCAAGAGTTTATTCCAACTCGGAGCAAAATAAAGTAGCACTGTGACTAGATTGACAGGTCTCAGACTCAAAGAGACTGTATTGCAGGAGCAACCGCGTCAGCGTTCCTGCTCTAACAGGGAAGATCATCGATGGTTTGTTTACATTTCATGATGATGCACATGTTCACCTGGGGGATAAAGCAGCACCACGTTGTCGCCGGTGTTGAGACCTCCTCGCTCGATAAGGGTGGCTGTGATTTTCTCCGCCCTCTTGTGAAGCTGAGCACAGGTGGCCGTGCACACTGCCACCCCCTGTAGCCAAAACAGAAAAAGTACAATTAACCGTCATCTGGCATCATATCGACAGAATTATGTAGGACGACAACTATTCTCTTATTTTCAGTGTGTCAGAAATGTTCCAGGAGTGGTGTCACAAAAAACATGTTTCAATCCAAAATAAATGGCCGACTTTCAAACAGAACCAGGTCAGGTGAATAGGGATGTTTTTCCAGCATGACAATGCTCTTCTCAGCCAGGAACTGTCAGATGCTCCGCGAATCATGAACAGATTCTCGCTGTTGCTCAATTTAAGCTTTAGTCCATGAATATGAATATATGACATATTACAGTACATTATTTTCATGCAAACCAAGTATGCAAGAGAAAACAGGTAGGTAGATTCTGAATCAGCATGAAAAATTCATTTCAATAAGTTTAGTTGCATCTCTGATTTAAAAAATGTGTTGACCAGTGTTATTATTTAAAAAAATAATGATGCTCCTGAACAGAAATGACAGTAACATTAACTTGCAAGGCGGTATGTGATTATACTGGTCTGCATCATAATCCTGCATGGAATGACTTCACACCAACAATCAGGAGTGCTGTGACAAAGATTGCCATGTCTCCCACCCAATGATGTTTGATCTACAGAAGATAACACCCATAGTGGGTTGAGACCGAACGTGAAATTTCACATCGCCCCAATTGTCTCGCGTAATTTTGTTCACGGGGGAATAACAAGTTTGAATCTCGCTCGTCAATCTGGTGACTGTTGGTCGTGTTGTTATTTTGCCCGCTTCAATGCTATCTTGTTTGACAGTTCAACATCTATAAATACGTTAAGTCAAAACACTCGCCAGATAAGCCACCTTCCTCCTGCTGCCCTTTGGCTCAGTTCTGGCTGCTATTGGCAGCTGGCTGTGGCCAAGAGACCACAATGATTTTGTCCCACCTTGTTTTTAGTTTACCATGCTGTCGGTGTCTTGTTTTCTTTTTTTAACTTTGTTTGGCTGTGTGTCTATGCTTGTGCTGCTGCTACGTGTGACATAATAAGGACATTCTCGACGCCGATTGGCTGTCGGCGACGCATTGGAAAGTTCAATGCAGCAAACCATGGCCAAATGGGCGGAGTAGAGGTGCAAAACTTTCACTTCCAACGCTTCACCCGCTCCTCCCTGCTGGCAATTGTGCCTGACCGCGCAAACTGCATTAATTGTATACAGTATGGCAGGGTGGCCAACCAGCGGCTCGCGAGCCACATGCGGCTCTTTGGCTGGTTCCGTGCAGCTCCCGGGCTTTCACACGACAATTGTCGAAAACGCTTCGGCAATGGCGCTGCCATTCAAACAACGGTGCTTAATACACAGAACGTAATACGTCAGCCTATCATCAATCCCGTTACTAGATTGACATAGAGGGCAACCAATCAGATGACTCAATCACTGCTCATGCGCAGACAACGGCGCTAAGTGCTAAGCTAGTCAGCGAATTACCTGTGTTTTTAAGGCAGGGGTGCCCAATACGTCGATCGCAATCGACCAAGAGCCAGCAGACTGGTCCCAAGTCGACCGTGAGCGGTGGGAGGAGTAAATGGGGGGAAAAAAAAGATTTGTGTGTTTGTGTCTTTAGGTTTCATATATGTTCGGGCGCTCCGGCTGTTGCTCGTCGTGTCGTGCATGGTCGTGTGTGTGTGTTTGTGTGTGTGTGTGTGTGTGTTTTCATATGCTTGCACGTGCGCGATCGGGTCGATCGTGGGAGGTTGGTCGCTCCAAAAGTCGATCTTTGGACAAAAAAGTGAGCGTGTGCGTGCGTGCGCATCTCTTTGCAGTAACCCAGTAAAAAATATTGGCTCTTAGTCTCTGACTGGTTGGCCACCCCTGCAGTATGGCAACAGACAGCTAGACACATTCAGCATGAGTTTGGTCTGACCGCAGGATAAAGCCATTTGATGATGTCATAGAGCGCAGACAGGACTTAAATGGAAGCATGTAGAATGACTGAATGAATGAACTTGTGGAGGATTTTAAAATTGACACATTTTATATTCCACACATTGATAAGAATTGAAAAAAGAAAGTTCAAATGCACTGTAACGTGTCATTGAGAGTTTAAGGTGTCTAAAGGCAAGCATAGCTGTATTAGTAACACCTTCCATTACTGCTGCATTAAAGCAAAAGGTGATACTGCCATTGTGTTACTCGTGCAAGACTGTCAAGCACAGTACCCATTCAGTCATTATTCGTGTCACCTTCTTTCAGAGGTGATTCAAGTGGCTTAGTACTTGTTTACTCTACCTTTGCATTTAGCAGCACATAGAGAATATGGTCCGGGTCGGTCTGGGCTCTCGACTGCAGTGCGTCAGATAAGAACTGGTGCTGAAAGGGAGAGGAATAGACTTTTATACGGATGGATTATCGGTATATCAAAGCACATGTAAAACAGACAGACATGAAATAAAAACAACTCTCTCAACATCACAGTGAATATGTGGAGGTTTGTTTGTGAATGCTCGCTCAGAGGCGCACACGCACAACAGGAGGGTAGCGGTGTGCGGAGAAGGTTGGTTTGCCAGGTCATGCTGGGACCATCTGCACCTGCTAACAAGCCATACAGTATACGGCAGTAGGCTTTGCAAAATGGTCATGGCCAATACAAACATTTAAAAAAAGAAAAAAACGTCCACGGTTCAGAGCCACCATAACCCAACACACATCCACAACATTGGCATATTAAGCAGTAACAGAGCATTCATGTTCTGGAGGTTTAAATATACCGGTAGTGCAGCATCTATTTTCTTAGTCATTTTCAAATCTTGCCACTGCAGAAATGATATCTTCATTGTCAACTTTGTGTCAAGCAATCAGACACGAGATGACACATTGTTATTCATTCATATCCATTCGTGACAATTCTTCGACACCGCTTTTCGAATATAAACAATTTCTTTTGTCCCTTTAGGGTTACCGTATCTTCCCTTGCGTGAACCAAAATAAATAAGTACATGTGTAGTATATTTGCCATCACTTTATTTCCAACAGTATCATGTGACTGTCACTCTAAGAAGGAAAAAAACTTTTCAGTCCTCTTGGTCTCTCGACGCCAAGCGCAAGAGACTTTTAAACATGGAGGGTAGGGCACGAAGCGAGGAGGGTAAGGCGTCCCTTGGTGGTGGTCGAGCAGGGTCATGCAGACTGAGCTGCTTGGACCACTCATCAAAGCCATGCCACACACAGTGTCACAGCAAGCAGAGGTGCACACCAAAACCGTCGGTCACGATGTAATTGGAATACTTTGAAATTTGCTTTTCCAGAACATGAAGAGCCGACTTGACTCATTTTATGTTGCGCTTGTGACAGCTGATAATGAGAAGGCACTATATAAACACCTTTCTTTTTTTTTAACCTCTGACTCAACACATAATGTACAGTTTTGTCAGTGAATGCGTGCAGACCCCTGCTGGCTGATCTGCACCGCTTATCATGGGGTTGGAAGACTTCAAGACGGCAGAAAGCACGTTTTGACTGACAAGCAGCAGAAGCATAGGTAGCAGGGAGCGGACTAAACGCTTACCATCACTGTGGGCCACATACACAGCTAAATGCCAACCCCAAGTGTGAATAAAGGTAGAATGACAAGAGGTGGATGGTAAGACATCATCAAGAAAAAGGTCCCTAACAAACGGCCAAATCATATTTGGACCGGAGTGAATACAAATAGGCTTGTTTTCTGGTCATTATTCTTTTTTGATAGTTTCCCCCTGGAATACATCATTAAATATGACTGCTCCTCGAATGCTGAAACGTGAATGAACAAAAGACTGCTCTTTACCCATTGAAAAACAAATGATTAGATGTCGGCTTTTCCAGCACTGATCCCCGGTGACCCGACTCTCCAATTGAAAAGTTGATTATGTCTTAGAAACTTAATGAATGTGTGTCTAATTAGCTAAATTGTAGGCATGTAAAGGTTTCCTCTCTTCTTGTCCTCATGACTGTACAACATATGTGCACCCCGTTGTGCTTTATGTGGTGTAATGCTGTAAGAAAGGTCCGGTTTAGTAACTTTCATATGAGTATATGTACTGTATGTCTAACCTGGTGCAACAGATATGAACACGGTCAATGTTGTGTTTTGTATGTTACCTTTCGAATCAGATCCTGGTCCTCCACCACACCCAGTTCTCTGCCAATTGCCTGGGCAATACGTTTCCCTGCCACTAGGTTGCCCACCAGCATCGATGCTGGACCAACATCCACTGCACAGATCAGATCCGACCATTTTTGGCAACACCATCACTCAGTTGAGGAGTTGAATGGTTTCATTCAACAAACTCACCAGGCTGTTTCTGCCGTGGTTTGGGCATGTTGGTGACGCAGGTGTGCGGGCACATGAGGATGTTGCAAGGGTGCAGGTTTCCCTCCAGGAAGTTCTGCTTGGTTTCGCAGATGTGGATGCCGCCGAGGGGCGTCTTTGGAAGGGTATTGGCAGGCACCAGTGCGAGGCAGTATAAACCCACCTGGTGGATACTGTCGATGGCCTGTGGGGAGAATGTGCATCATGACATACACTGCGGTGCTAATGTTGCTTTAATGCCGAATGGGGAGGGGTAAAGAAACTCAATGAGCATCTCCCTTTTTTTTTTTTTTTTATATTATGCAAAGCCAGCCACTAATGACGCAAGACTAGACATAAACCTCTCAAGCAATGTCCATCATATGGCGGCTGGCTAGAGTCAGTAGCTAAATAGCAGCGAGTGTGAGAAGCTAATGTAGCAGCTGCACTCAGTGCTGCTTCTTGGGAAACATCACAATCAAATGCACGGAAGATTCAAATCATTCATTCATTCATTTTCCAACCCGCTTATCCTCACAAGGGTCGCGGGGGGTGCTGGAGCCTATCCCAGATGTCTTCGTGCGGTAGGCGGGGACACCCTGAACCGGTCGCCAGCCAGTCGCAGGCCACACAGAGACGAACAACCATCCGCGCTCACACTCACACCTAGGGACAATTTGGAGTGTTCAATCAGCCTGCCATGCATGTTTTTGGAATGTGAGAGGAAACCGGAGTACCCGGAGAAAACCCACGCAGGCCCGGGGAGAACATGCAAATTCCACACAGGGAGGCCGGAGCTGGAATTGAACCCAATACCTCTGCACTGTGAGGTCAACGCGCTAACAACTGGACCACCCGGCCGCAGAGATTCAAATCAAAATTTCACAAAAAGCAGAGCAATCCAGTCTAATCAAGCCAACTGCTATGGAACACAAACAGGAACTACAAACTTCCCAAATGAAAACCAGTACCAGCACTACAGTGAAAGTCGTGTCCTTGTATCCTCAGCCTACTGCTTAGATACGAGTCTGCTTACTTCACACAAATTTCTTGTGAATACTTTTCACTCACTATCATTCCAGAACAAGTGCCACAAAAACACAGAGACATGCAAGCAGAGTTCCTTCGTCGATGCTCGATTAAATTAGGTCAAGTACATGCATGGCTTGCATCATACAGAGCATATTATATGACACCCAAAATAATATTTCACCGTAAATTTTGATGGATCATCAAACATCTGAGGCGTTCCCATTGGAAGAGAGAGAGAGAGAGAGAGCGAGAGCAAGAGAGAGAGAGCGAGAGAGAGGGCGAGAGAGTGAGAGAGAGCGAGAGAGCGAGAGAGCGAGAGAGAGAGAGAGAGAGAGAGAGAGAGAGAGAGAGAGAGACCTTGACATACCTGTAGGACTCGACTCATCCACTGGAAGCTGTCCTCCTCACTGGCATCAGGCCGTTGCTCTGCCACGATCACGATCCTCTCATCGTAAAAAACAGTCACTGAAAACACAGCGATCCTAGACAGAGTCGGACGGACGAAAACACACACACACACATTACAAAGTAGTACACGTTTCATGTTAGCAAGCAGGTCGGGCCTCACCTCCCCCTGTAAACTGTTTTGACAGGCTCCACGGCGAGAGCGGTGGCCACCAAGTCGTCGGCGTTGTGGCGTCGCCGACTCACCATCAGCAACCCCTCAATCTTGCCCACAACGAATACCAGACTGCCCTGTGGAAAGAACAGAAGGAGCATTTCAGCACCTACGAAACGTACACTTAATGTCAGCACTTTATTTCTAGGTGCGTGGGACTTACTGGGCCAACAAATCCAAGCAAACCAGTTCGGGTAAAGGGAACTTCCCCTAGAGGCGCTCCAGACTGGTTGACAGGGATCACCTAAAGTGGCAAAACGTTAGATTGGTGTAGATGACACTGTATCCAACTGGGCACCCTCCAATTGTCCATGACACTGCAATCGGTAAAATGCGTCTATCTGGTATGAGCAGCTTTTTGTATAACTGCCCCTCAACACCACTGCAAAGTAGAGTTGAAGTTAAATTGTGCTTTGAGTGACATAAAAATCTAAGAAGGGTCACAACTTCATCAAACTTGACTAAAGTGGCACCATCTGCAGCCAGGCTTATTTATTTTGGGGAATTATTTATACTCAATTTTACTTTCCCACGGGTTCTGAAATGCACTTTCCACACATGGTTATGAGCATTTATGCTTACAAAGATGTGCCTTCAAATAAATGTGCGTTTATAAGAGTTTTTGGAGGAGAAAAAGACAATTTCGAGAAGATCACTTTCAACTTGAGCTTTGACAGACCTCAAAAGTGTTCTTGGTGACCCCAGGAAGACCGTAGTACATGGTGCCCCCCGCTCGGGAGCTGATCACAATCTCTCCTATTTCGTCAGTTTTGCACATCTGAGGAGAGCCATCTGGTTTCACGATGCACATCAGAGCTGAAATATATATTATGGTCGGATCAACTCTGGGCAAGTTTACGTTTTGTGTTAGGATTTTGCCGGTAGTTAGTGCATGCGGCCGTGGTCACAGACGAACCTCCAGGCATAATGTGGCCGACGTCTTGCACAGTGAGAGCCGAATTCTTGTCCTCCGTGTTCACTCTGATCACACCGTGGCTCAGTCCGCCCATGGAGAGGATGGCCCTGGCTGGCAGAGGAGCTCCTCGTGCCCCAGGTCTGCAGCGGAGTCGGCAGGAGAAGTGATCAAATTTCCCAAATTTGACCATGTGGCGACAGAAAACAATCATATTTTGTCAGCACATGACCAAAATATCCTCAATTCTTTGTTTATACTTTGTAAACATTGAGGCTTGGGATAACAATTTTCATGAGTGCACGCACCGTTGGCGGTCACCGGGCCCAACGGTCATGCAATTGGACGCCAGAGTGTGATGACGAATGAATCATGCATTTTCCTTTTTAACTGGATTTTACATTGACTGCTGGACACGATCATCGTATGGACTTAACCGAGAATGGATTGCAGTACAAATTGATGAGTTCTTGGGACTTTTTACTGCACTTTGAACATGCTGGACGAGTGTGTGCGTGACCAGCAGGACCTGCATGAATGTTTTGTCAGGACTTGCAGGCATCGGAGGTGGCTGAAGCAACATTAGTAAAAGCGAGGCAGCAGAGATAGGCTATGGCTAGGCTAAGGTAAATGCTAACCACTCAATCTCCACTGCTGTGCCTCTGCCTCAGATGCCAGATCGATAACACACAAAACAGTTGATCTGGACGTAGGACTCGCAGAAAATCGTTGCTAAATTCTTGACTGTTGCATTTATCAATCACGGAAACCTGGCTACAGGCTTCATGGAATCCTGGATACGGGCTAAGATACCACATACTTCTGTGCAACTGTACGTGAGGCTAACCGCAGTACAAAATGAACTTTCATCAGCAGATTATGATGTCCAGTAATGTACAGTGTTCTGCCCACAGTAAAGGTTACGGGCCATTTCATTAATGCTAATTGTGTTTAGAATATTCATTTAGTTATCGCGGTGCATTGTGGGTAGCAGACGCTGTGTTTCATCAGACGAGTCGTTACAAAAAGCCTGACCGTGGTCGTTGCAACTGGTCCTCCTGATTTATATTCTTCTTTCGTTTCACCTTCGAAAGCAATGGCTGTAAGTCTGCTCGTGTTTAGCATTATTTAGAAATGTGTTTCAGAGATTGTTTTTCTTCAATTGTTGTCATTGAAACTCGCTAGCTCAGAGTACTGCTAACGACATAGCAATGATGCTAAATAAATGCTAACAACGCAACGACGATGCTAGGTGGGTGCTAGCGAGCTAATTAGCATGCGAAAGAATCGCAAAAACGCATTGTCATCGTTGTTTGTCACGCTTTGAGCTGCATTTATGTCTTTGTTTAAATACCAGACGATTTGTGTTGTATTTATGTACACAATGTTAATGCATGTTTTAAATCTGTTTATTTCAGTTTCACTCTACATTTCATTGAGCTGATGTCACAGTTGTTCACTGTACGCCGTCAAGAAGACTGTAATAAAGGAGCAAGACGCTCAGTTTCCTGGCTCATGAATAAATGAGTTTGGCTTGCTGTTGACCTGCGTTAACATACCCGGAGTATCCAACACGTAGCGATCACAGTACATACAGACTTGTTGGAATTTTGGCCTTTGAAAATGTCTTCACATTAAAATGACCATTCACACTAAAATGTTTGGGGTACTGCATTTACTTTAAAATGTGTGTGTGTGCATATATATGGGGGCAATGTGCATTGTTGAAAGGTCACTGCTGAATAAATCTTTTTGTGATTTATTCTGTGTTGCATTAATATGAAATATATACAGTAAAACACGCCCATGCAGTCTTGCTCTACTGTTTCTGACAGAAAGTTAAAAATGGGAAAAGATAAATTGTTCAGCAAGAAAGGAGGAAAGGAAGAACATAAAATACATCATTTTAATCTGCAAGTACAGATACTGTAGGTGTTGTGTTGACATTTGTCGAATGCTGTTGTTTAAAAAAAAAAAATCATGATAGGCCGAACAATGAATAATGGAAATACTTTACACTGACTAAAATAAAATATCTATGATGAAGCTGGTCGGCTTCTCTACCACCAGGCAAAGCAAGTTTTCTGCGGGGAAATCCCGTGTTCTGGTTCTTGCAACCCACAGGTTCATGTTGTCATTACATGAACCGATGAGAACAAACACAACAGTCTAGATGTGACTGATCATAAATTTATTCTTAGCATGTATTCAAAAGTAGTTTGAGCACAAGTGCATATCAAAATGGTAGCCCTTCGTATTAACTAGTTCCCAGGAAGTAGCTCTCAGTTTCAAAATGGTTGGCAATCCCCATGCAGTAGTCTACTTCATTGCTCTGTAACATTGGTTCTGCATTTCTTTTTCATAGTGAACCTTAAGTTTGTTTTTTCTTCACTGTCGTTCCGGCTGGCGGGTCTTTGATGACCACATCGTTTCTGAAGGAAGCCCTCCGCGTTTCGACATGATTCGTTTTAGCAATGTCATCTTATCGTGGACAAGGACAAAAAAATGGAAAACTTTTTAACTGTATTATTATTATTATTATTATTATTATTATTATTGTTTGAGTCTTCTTACATTGTACAAAAGCAGACTTTACTGTATAGCGTAACATTAATTTTCCGGGATTGTAAGTGAAGGCATCATCTACGCACAGTTTTTGGTTTGCGCTCTTTCAACTCGAAGACAACCACGTGGAGCTGAGGCACATCAAGTGATGTAAGGAGGGTGTAGATTTTGGCTTTGAATATGAAGCTGGTGTTTAAAAAAAAAAAAAAAAAAACAATCTTGCAATGCTTCACATTGTTCTTTGTATGTTTACATCGCACAGGGTTCTGATTCGCTTTTAAAAAACAAAAAAAGAAATGGATTGGCTCAATTTCTGTGCGGACATGGTTCTTATGTGTCACCGAGAAGCAACGTCATCAGGCAGTGACTTTGTTTTGGTTGCCAACTTGCCTCCAGAGAGCTAATGTGGTCTCTTCTTTGAGGGGTTGGGACGGGTCATATTAGGACACATAGGTGCGGCACACCTGGGCTTCAGAGGTTGCAGCATTTAAAAAAAAAACAAAAACAAAAAAAACATTTTTGGGAAATCCAAGCAATCAGGCAATGTGGATTTTATTTTCTCCCTCTACTTTATTCAGGTTACCAAACGGAACTGAAACCTTACACTGTGTAATATAAAATTAAGTTAGTGCTGCTCAATTTTGTAATACAAGTGTGAGTTATTTTATCACTGTGACCATTATAAATCATGAAAATTTAAAAACCTGATCTTTACAGCTGATACCGATCATCTGAAAATCATGTGAACGGACTCAGGTTCTGATCAAATGATCAGATCGGGACAACCCTAATTATAAGCAAGTGTGGCATATCATGCAACTCCATCCAAGGGCAAAATAAGGTGCAACCTTGCCAAGGGCGCTTTTGACCTACTACAACCTCTGATGTGCATGAGAGGAAAAGTGCTGAAGTCGGCTAGGGAATACACACAAGGCAAGATTTGACAGGTGAAAATCAGCGCAGCAACTATATGTCGTTCCCCTTTTCCGCGTGTGGGAGAAGATGGACATATTGTACCTGCGAATGGCCACCGTCAAGGCCTCGGGCGAGGTGGCACATGGACAGATCACCTCTGGCTTTAGACCGTGAGACTGGAACACATTCAGGAAGGCATCGCATGACGACACAGACCCTAATTGCACAAACAAACACACAAATAAATAAATAAATTTTAACATGGGGGGGGAAAGGGTATCAGCAAACCAAGATAAAAAAGTTGAGATAATGGTTAAAAAAAAAAAAATGGGATGTGACTCACAGGGGTTTGCTCCATCAGCTACGATCAGCATTCGTATGGTGGACAGGTTGGTGTCCCTCTGATCTTTGTGGGCCATCATTGCCCAGTGAAGGTCACGGCACTTCACTAAGGCCACGCGAGCTGTGAGATGACGAGAAACATAATGTGCACTGACAAACAATAGACAGACAACCATCAGAATAAGAGCGATGAAGGCAAACCTTTGTGAATGTGCACCCTCTGCACCCAGGACATGGGACAGGCTTTCATGACGGAATACGGCACAGTAATGGTATGAATTCTATTCATGACACTCTGGAAGGACCACATACACAGTGTCAAAGTTGGGACTTCCCACCAGTCTAAAGTCTATAGCGGACAAATGGTGCTATTTATCTTACCGTTAAGACACCATGCCACAAGCCCATGTCCTTTTTGCAGTCCAGCACGTTGACCAGAGTCTCACCTGAAACAATAAGCAGAAACACATTAGCGAATGGGAGATACACACACAAGCAGGGCTAATGAATTGTAATCCATAAAGATGGTTTGGTGAGAGGGAGGATAGAAACGGGTGCTGTTGCTCATTCAATTGCCTTCTTGAACAAATGGTGACAAAACACAGGTAACACAGGCACACGGAGCCAAGCTGTCAACGGCCTCAACTGGGGGTGCCACTCTGCACACACAGTGGCTAATGTTGAAGCCAGTTAAGTGCCGACCAACTATATATCCTCATTTGCTCACTTCCATGTCGTCAGAGGCCAGGTCTGCCTTTTAAAGGCAAATACACATTTCGCGTCATAGATACTGTAGTGTAGTCTGGTGACCCCAAGTTTGAAAAAATAATAACTGCACCTCACATGCATACACTGTATATTGTACAATATAACCATGCAGCAAAATAAAGAAATAAAACCTCAAAACTAGATTAAAATTAAAACAAAATACTTGGTCACTCTTTCACGTATTTTGTCTATTGCAGGGGTAGTCTGAAACCCCCACGAGGGATTACTGTACTATAATTTGCAAGTACGGGTGAGAGAGGGGGTGGGAGAGCGAGACCGAGTGAAGCATGAGGTGCACTATTTTATTATTTTTTTTTAACACACATTTTCTGTGCATTTTCTGTACTTCTTCGAATTGACGGCAAGTGTAACTGCTATTGCATATTGATTGACCTTCACAGTAGTTGCAAGCCTGTGTCAGGGCTTGACAATGAGTCAGCATGGAGATCTTGGACACAGCCACTCCCATCACGGTCCCCTCCTTACTGGCTTTGTACTGGAAACACACACAAAACACAGAGTGGAGGACAACCACATTTGTAAGATTTTAGAAGCGAATACATACATAATTTGCATTCAGTTAGTACCTCGATGTAAGCCGTGTCTGTGTTGGCAGTGGGAATATGGGGCTGCCAGTCTTTGGAAGGTTTGGTCAGGTACTTGGTGTCTGTCACAACCCATTTCATTCTTGGCCATCCTGGGGAAGGTGAGCACGTTTTAGCTTGACACAAGGTGTAGGGGAGAAGTGAGGACGAGCAACATTACGCATCACGCAAAGAGGCCACCCAAGCAAATCTCAACACTACAATGTAAAGTCTTTCAAATGATGAGCTCTGTTTCGGTCCCCAGGAGCAATACAGGGCCAGTGGTACATATTGACGATGGAGCCCTTAGGCTGCCTGACCTTTGAACTGGATGATCTCTCCATTTGGTGTCTTGGGCAGCCCTTTGAGACACACTTCGCTGGTCAGTGCCAGACTGACACCACAGCTGCCCAAGAGGAAGCCAATCTGCTGGCTGCCTGCATCCTATGGAGAGAAACAACATTTGATAAATATCATGGATTATTAATCTGTACAAATCTATAGGACAGACACAGCGGGCTGCAGTCGGCCTGTCCAGAATTTCTGACCAGCTCTGACAAAGATTTAATGAAGTGCAAATAAAATGCAACATAAGTGTGGTGCTTTTATATTTTGATATCATCTTTGGTGGCCCAGTAGTCGACTGGTTAGCCCGTTGGCCTCACAGAGCAGAGGTGCATGGTTCGATTCTGGCTCTGGCCTTCCTGTGTGGAGTTTGCATATTCTCCCCATGCCTGCGTGGGTTTTCTCCAGGTACTCCAGTTTCCTCCCACATTCTGTCGCTGCACTATTCATACTAGCAGCATGTCACAACATTACAAGAGTGGTGAGTCTCGGCCACTGTTTTTGGGGTGATACAAAGTATGAATTGTCGTTGCATTATGTGGCGACATTGCAAAGTACAGCCCATTAAATGCACAGAAGCTTTTATGAGAAACCGCTGGCCGCCCCAGGACAAAAATACAATATGTACAGCACACATATTTTTTGTCTTGCAACAAGATTGAACCATATTTACAATTTAATTTGTCCCCTGGATTAAACTGTGCGATAGAGAGCTCACTCTCATTCATTTGGCTGCCTCTCCAATTAAAAAAACATCACATCGGGTGTCTCCAAAGTTCGATTGTTCGATTGTCCTTACTTGTTTCGAAAGTGGTACTTCAATAGGCACAGGGATGACCTCAGCCAACAAACAGCCATAGAATGCAACCCAGAACATACCGGGGTCACTGTTTGGGTAAACCAGTGCCACCTAGGAGACAAGAGATAATCAATTTCAACATCACAAGCGCCACATGTACACACTCTGCGGGTGGCGATTGACATGCTCGTACTCGATCTCCAGGTGATAACACAGGTTCCGTCTTCGTGCCCAGTTTATTCAGTAGGGTGTAAGCCAGTTTCAGACTGCGACTCCACAATTTGCCTGTGAAGAAGTAATCAAAGTGTTGATGGAAAATATACCCTGAGGTTCGGACAATATCCGTGATTGGAACCTTTAGCATACGTGGCGTCATACGGCGTAAGTCATCAGCACACTGCACTGGACCTCCTTTCAGCCAACAGGAAGTGATTAGTGGTGCTTGTGTGGTTTGCCTGTTCCTTTGGATTTTTGCAACACTTTTTCTTCACTTAGACATGAAGTTAGGGTTTGTTGGGCGGGGACGGTATTTGTGGTGGGTGCTGACGGAAGATTCAGACGATGGCAAGGTACAATGACGTGTAACCTGAGTGAACGCCAGTTTTCCATGCAGCGAACATTTTTTTTCTTTGGTGGGGTATCACAACTGTTGTTTCTCTTGTTAAGGAAATTCCTAACTGTGATTTTTTTAGCCCGTCTCTGTTGTTGGTTGTGTTCAAACACTTGAAACAAAGAATGTAGAATGCTGTTGAAGGTATTTCCTGGTTACTGTGATTACAATCACCTTTAGTGCCCCTTGACCCCCACCTCGAGAGAGTCCCTGAAGGCTGTCAAGTTCCCCCGGGGACGGACTCTTATCTCAAGATTTACGCACAGCGGGAGAGGTCTGGACTTTCCCAACATGCCAAAATCGAATTGCATCGACCTTTCTTTGTTTCCGGAATTTGCATGGAGGCGTAACTCCCCGCCTCTCATTATCATATTGTCTCTATATACAGTCAAACCTCGGTTTTCAAACGTCTCTGTTGTCGACCAAATCGGTTTTCGACCAAAAATTTCGATTTTTCTATCCCTCGGATTACGACGGAAAATCGGTTCTCAACCAAACTGAGCGCAGTTGAATGCGTCACTTGACTCTTCTCGTCTTCCTTACACGAGGAAGTGACGCTTCCTCGGGTAGACGAGGAAGTGATGCTTCCTCGTGTAGCGTTCCATTGTGAGCAGACGTGTTCAATCTTTTTTTTTTTAAAGAGCGTGGTTTCGGTTTTCGAACAAATCGGTTTTCGAACAGCCTTCTGGAACGGATTATGGTCGAAAACCGAGGTATGACTGTATTCTTACGACTGTATTTTTTCTGGGCTTCCTGATGAAGTCTGAAACTCTCAGGGGCCCGAATCGATTCGTAAACTGCAGAAAAGAAAAATAAAACCTTCGAAGGTACTGTTCATCATCTCCAGCCTGTATTTGGATAACCAACATCCTCATCATCTAAAATGAACGAACACGCGGAGGAAGAGAAAGGCCGACTCTCCCCCAACTCTTAAGACACGTTGAGCAATAATTCTGTCCGGGTAAAAAACCTTGACTGAAACTTTAAACATGATACCATTTTGCTCATAGATTTCTCTATCAAATTCCAATTTTATTTTGTTGGGTTGCCACTTCCTGTTTTACCCGGTAGCTTTTTGTGAACAAAGGATTTTGATGTGGATATTCTGTTGCCAGTTTTGCACGCAGACTTTTTTGTCATTTTGACTAGAAGATTTCTGTAGCATAACATAGTTATTCATCATTAAATTATACCTGCAGCATGATGTGAATTTAACTGTATTTAATTTATTGCTGAATTTGTTAATGTCTCTCGGTAACACAGCAAACCATTCTTTCTTTCTTTTTAAATGCTTAGTTTTCACTGAAACCGCACTAGTATCGTTATGAAGATATTTGCCATGAATATAGAGATATAACAAGTTTAGCCTTATCGCACAGCCCAACCGTAGATTGTGATTCACTTCTTCCAACTGGTGGCAGTGGTGCGGCATAAGGTTGATAAGTGAAAGACCATCAAATCAAGCTGTCTTTATGTGATGTATTAATTCCCAGCAGTTTGATGCAGATGACAAATGACAATAGTAGAAATGTGACACGATAAAATGTTATTTATCGTCTTCGCAATATGTCCTGTTGAGAGAGAGAGAGGTGGGTGGTGAGAAAGTGAGCAATAGAAACATACAGACACAGAGAAAAAGAGCGAGAGAGAGAGAGCGCATTGCCATGAACCTTAGATGTTAAAATGTACTGTTTTCAAATCAGGGAGATGGCCTCGATGTAAGATAGATAGCGCTGCCGTGATGCCACAATAAATCCCTAATATCCCAAAATACTGCTGCTAACTAACATAAGTTGCCACACTTGACAGAGCATTTAAACATATTAATCAGACTACCTTAACCATAACTATATCATAGCTTAACTGACCGTCTGTTGTCCGCCTGGAATGATCACGTTAAAATGCACTTGACTTTTTTACAGAATTGGTGGACGCAACCGAAGGGAGGTTCGAGGTGGGAGTAAATTGTAAATTGACTTTTTAGACACACTGTGGAGACGATATAAGTAACATTTACAATAACATTTTGATTTTAGTATTGCCAATAGTAGGGGTGGCAATTGGGGTGACAAGACATTTGGGAAAGGTGGCAGCTGCCACCCCTTGCCACTCGGTAAAACTGTCTCTGTACCAAGGGACAATTTAGAGTCTTCAAATAACCTACGAGTTTTTTGAATGTGGGAGGAAATCGGAGTAATCTGAGAAAAACCCACACAGGCAAGGGAAGAGCGTGCAAAGTCTACATGGGAAGTGATCACGTGAGTGCACCATGACAGACGGCAAAAGTTAATGACTGCTGAATTTAATTTTACCCATCTCGCCATCCACTACTTCAACTGCTGCCTGCTGTGTTGACCGTTTTAATAAAATCAACGACTTTGCCAAAATTCACAGCGCACGACCTTTACCATTATGTTTTCAATGCCTTATCCCCTTACAATGGAGCTGATAAAAGTCTGGACACATACCAGGTTTTTTTTCTCTGGTTGGGTCCCTGGAACAAAATGCTACACTCACACCGGGGGGATAAGTTATCTTGTGACGGCAAAGGTAAAACTTGCTTATAGTGATTATGAGTAAAATATATGAACACCGATCGACTAACCCTGTAAAAAAATGATTGCTGCAAATCCTCAAATACTTTGGGGGCTGCCAGTCCTTTCGGTTGATTGCTGCTATCCATCATCGTCTTTTATCTTCATCAGCAGGTATGTGATAAAAGCCAAGTTTGGTTTCCACTCTTGTCTATTAGCCCATCCGACCGCACAGCAAGTTGTGACTATTTTAGAAGATAATCACTTTTATAAAGAGACAAGACTATACACTTTACAGGAGTTTCAATGGTTTCAAAAGGTGTATATGGTTATTTTGGGGTGGTTGTTCTTTTAAAGGCTGTGATGTAATGCGCAAAAGGTGAATAGTAGAGTACAATATATTCTTGTGGGCATGCCGATTAAAATGGGAAATCAAATCTTTGCCTGCACTGTTATCAAAGGGTTTCTCACAATTTGGATTCTGACCCAGCATTACAGAACAGATAGTGATCTAACTAGGAGCTACCGTTGTATTTACAGCTTGCAACGAATTGGTGCTCACCATATGTGAGAGTGTACAGGGGCTTTCCTGTGATGTCCAGCGCTGTGAGGGCGGGGCTCTTGGCCTGGGTGGCCCCCCAGCGGGCAAGGGCTGCTTGCAGGGCAGGAGGCCAGTTACTAACAACACCAAGGGGCTCCCCCTTCACTGGGATGATTTGACGGCCTTCCGGCTTTGGGGTGTTGGGGTCTGGCTGGGGAACTGGATGAAACATTCACGACAAAGGGTATGGGTGTCATTTTTTTGTAATGAATGTAATGAACGCATCCTTCTCACCTTCAACTATTTCCTCTGAGTCGTCGAGGAAGAATTCACTGAGTGGTGGTCTTTTAGGGCGCTTGAGCGTGTTTAGTAACTGTTGAATCTTAGTGGACACTCTGCTGTTGACAGGCACACCTGCATAAACAACCACCACCGTCAACAAACAAACAAATAAATAAACCAATGAAGCAAAACATAAAACATTATACACACGTGCAACCCTAAAAAACATTGCTATAGTAGTACACACTCACACAGTCGGGGTAAAAATCAGCAACAGGAAAGATTTGAATACTAGTTGGACAGGCACAGGTTGGAGGATTCGGGGGGTGGGGTGGGGGGGAGCGTAGAAGTTTGCCTAAGTCTAAGCCTAAATCACAAGACAAACATGGAGAGAGACAGGCTGGAAAGCAAGCTGACAAGGGCGTCTTCAGCATCCCTTCCATTCCCACTTGGATTACCTTTTCGCTTTCCTTTTTAAATGAAAGTCAAGATGGAATAATGGACCCAAAAGAAAGAAGACAAAATGTGTGATTAGCGCCATATTCCTTGACTTAAATGAACACACTCAATTGAGTGTCGTCACCACAGATGCCTATCAATAAAAATCAGGGGAAAAAAAACATTTATTTGAATACCTCAACTAAAAAAGTGAAACTCACTTTTGATTCACTCTCCACAGTGTGAAGTAGTTTATGACTTTATTTTTGACAGTTTTGATGAAAATAGCTCACACAGCCAAAATTTGCTCTCAAGAAATTAGAAGGTTCCATAAAGAAACCATCAAAAACACTTACAATAAGGTAGGAAATGTGTTTAATTAATCCGCACAACACACAATTTGAATTGAACTACTTAATCCATGTTCCTTTGATATTAGAATTTATTGAGAAGCACCTGTATGACTGGATTGATTCAGAGGTGATGGCTGGGTTTTATTTCCCACAGAGTAAAAATGTACTCAGGTGTAACCATCTGATATGACCACCACTTTTGTGTGATTGAATGCATGCGCGTGTGCATCTACCATCAGCAGTATCCAGCATACTAGAACGGCTCTGGCCACGGCTCATGCCCCTGACGGCAGGCGGCAGGTCCATCCTCGAGCCTCTGTCCTGGGCAGTGGAGGACGATGTCACATCTGGAGGAACACTGTTCTCTAATGGAGAACCACAAAGCGAGTCATGCTAAGGTGGATGTCGACAGAGCAAAACAAACACATCCATCTGTGTTGTTGATGAAGGGACTTTTTACCGATGCGCGTGAGGGCTAGTACATCAGCCAGCAGAGAAGCAGCAGGCTGAGGCGGGGGCTGGGACTGGCTTTTTGGCTCTCCGTGGGAGAGGGTGGAGGACGCCGATGAGGAAGTGGAGGAGCTTTGGACGGAACGGTTGATCCAGTAATCAGGACTTTGCAGCCCGTGGGCCAGTGCCGCGCTGAGGGCGGCCTTCCTTCGCAGTGAGCCCTCATCCTCTGATGCAGAAGATGTGTCTGGTAGAAAGAAAAAAAACATTTGAAATCTGTCACCTTGATCAATACTCACACGCAGGTGTACCGTGAACATCCAATGCTCCAAAATACGTACAATTTGCAGTTCCACCAAAGCACAGGTAAACACTATGGCCCCAATTTCAAACAATTTGTGGAGCATGTTCCGTCGACATTTTACATTTACTAGACCTCATTTCAGCGAGCATCAAAGGATGAACCCTGTTCTTATTCGATTGCTTTGGGCTCGACAAGACTCTCAGCTGGCATAGAGCACCATTTTGTAAACAATACAAAGTTAATTTGGGTCTTTTGTGACTGGGGTAGTGTATTTGAGTCCAAGTGTCTGTGACGTTTGACTGGAGGGAAGCACTGAGATGAAATTTCAGTCTTTTCCATTGGTTTCTAGTGGTAGAAGCCGGCTGGCGAGCTGACCAACAGAATGTTATACTTGTGATCAAAGGGGAACATCTTATGTTTGTGTTGTGTTTATGTAGTTCACTGATGCTGGCCTGTACGGGCCACCAGTGCAAATTTCATAAATGCATGTCATGAATTCAACACGTTCTGTCTTTTTAATATTCATGTACAATATTTATATCTATATTTTGCGTTTTATCCAGTTAATTTAATCAAGTCGGCTTTGCTCTTTTTACCCTTGCTGTGCACATTCGATTTCCCCCAATCACAGACACATTGCGCACTGTCAACAGGTAGGCCCACTTATATAATTATGAATTTCATTAAGTATTGTTTTAAATAAAAAAATCTGGACAAAAGTGGTGCACATGTCGCTAAAATCTTGGAGTAAGATATTGTCAAGGAGGTCTTTTGTTGCTTTTAACGAGTCCCTCAAGGAATTGCTCTCCGCAGAATCAGGATTGTTCTCACCGAAATCAACGCTTTTTCTCTCCAGAATTCTGCGGGGTGGGGATGGGGGGGTCTATTTATCTCATTACTTTTAGGGCTGGTTAATCCCTGCTTATTCTTGTGACAATTAATAGTGCTAAAATGTCACTTTAACATTACTTGTGTGGGTAATATAGGTTTTATAAAGGTGACAAGTCAAAGATGGGAGAGTGTCATTGAACAAAATGCTGGCCAACTTGAAGTACCATTGCTGAAGCACATCAAAGTGAAAAGGTCATGAGCCATTATTTGTACCTGGGGGTGTGCAAGCATCTCCAGGAGATTGGACAAAAGCTGAGCGTCGCTTGGTGGGCATGGGAAGCGCCATCTTCTCCTCTTTGTGTTTAGCTAGCGCTGCCTGCACAGCTTCTGTGTGAATATCTAAACAAATGAATATAAAGAATGAGAAAAGTAGTCAGTCAGAAAACAATAAATAGTAGATCTCATAAGAGTTTGGTTGGTTTGTACCTGATCTGTAGCGCTCATCTCTGGCCCCTCCACTCCGATGTGCACGATGATGTCTGGAGGCTGAAGATGTGGTGGGGCCCGGGGCCTCAGGGCTCGGCGTAGGCTCACCGCTGTGGCCCCCAGAAAGCTGCACATCTGGCAGGGTCACATCCGCATCTGGAGTAAAGTTAATACAGTTTACGAAAATTGACATAATAAATACATATACAACTGGAAAAAAAGAAAAAAAATCTTCATGAAATCTTAAAAAAGATTTAAAAAGAAACGAGCACTTCTTAAAAAAAACAAAAAAAAACTACCTGCATATCCTCAAGGTTATAAAGTAAACTAAAAAGTAACCAAACTTAAATGAAGCAATTAAAAAAAAAACCTGCTTGAAAAACAAAATTTTACTGAATAACAATTTTTTAAAAAGCCAATACAAAATAAAAACTAGCGATAACGAGAAATCCAAAATTATTATAATGTTGATCTGGAGAAATAGCACATGGTGGCTAAATAGATAATTACAACAAATAACAGCTGCACGATATACCAAGAGCACCTCTAATTCACATGAGCAATAAAACCTTGAAACATAAAATCCTGTGTGAGTAGATAGAGAACATGACACAAGGTTTGTTCTCTAGGGAATCCAAGTCCTTTGGAATATGACACCTGAGATGGCTAAAGAGATACAGGGGATGGGGGGGGGGGGCGGCGTTGCTGAGGATTGGAGTACGTTTACTGGGGAAGGGGAAACAGCATCCTCTTGCTGAATAATTCCCAGAATGTCCCCCTTTAAGTTTGTATGGTGAAGTGACTCATTTGAGACTGTCACAATTTTTCTGGTCAAGCCCACTTGAGATCAAATTAGGGTGACTGTGGCCCCTGAACTAGGATGCATTTGATACGCCTGGCGAGGCAGATAACAGTGTATTTTAACCCCATTGCTGTTTCTTGTGTGCAGATCTACGAATGACCACTAGAGTGTGACAGAGTATTATAGATGATGGTGGCAAAAATTAATCAAAATTCACAATGGACATAGACCTTACTGATTTTTACAGAGCAGAGCAAGATAAACACACAGTGAGTGTGTACGTCTAAGTATACATTAATATACTTGCTGTATTCATGAGTAAACGAGTGTCACAAAGAACATGAAGCTAACGTAAGATTCAGTGGGTCGTCTTACTGGGCAAACAGGAGGCCAGCAGCTTGGCTCTCTTCTTCTCAAAGCCTTTCTGTGTGATGTCACCTAGGAAAGAGGACAGTGATGCCAAACTGTTATATATGTATATTTATTGCTGCACAACATTCAGTGTAGAGGCACAGGTACACTCATGCACGCACACCCATACCCATCAGGCACCGCTCTGATCTGAACATACTCCTGGAGTTCTGAAGTTTGCCTGAATGGAAGCTAGTGCTTCGCAATAAGGACAAAATTCCATACTGTGTTCTCAAAATTCATGCCAGATACCTTGATAACAATACTTCAACAACAATAATAGGAAACCCCCCTTTTTTTTCTTTTTTTTTGAGAAAAAGCGAAATATAAATCCAAAAGGATCTGCAAACTGCATTTTCTAACAAGACCTTACTGACAGTCATCCACATTAAAGTCAACAATGAATCCAATAAAAAAATAACTATAATTCACAGTGCACAGTCACTAATTAATTTTATGTTACAACAGAACTATTTGTTTGCAAACATATGCATGTGTTAACTTCATCAATGTGTGTTTTTTCGTACAAATGTGTCCATGCGCTTATGGATTGACATATTACGTATCTTCGGGTCTAAGGCCCAACGCACAGGGCATGATGCTTCTGAACACCCGACTTGTCAAATGAGTTTTGGTGGATCCCGGGGTTTTGTTTTCTGTATGGAAAGGTTTAAAACAGCTCTGAGCTGCCAACCCTTGCCGATACCAAAATCCAATGGTTGACATTATAATACATCCCTCTTCACTTGTTGTACTGTTAGTGAGCCAGCGTCCTTGATAGGCTCTCGTTATTTCCAAATACAGACATATTTTACAGAATTGTCACACGGCTGCCACACCAAAAAACTGGAAAATGGGCGGAACGCTTGCACATTAACATTGACATGTTCATCATCGTCACGTAAACCTGCAGTGGCGTACACCATGGAGCGCACTCTCCGTTCACCAATGATGATGGCTCCTTTATATTTTTCTTGTCTCGGTATGAACATTTCTTAACATAGAAAGGGTTCTGTCAGTCGTCATCTGTACCTGTGGGTAAAAAACAAAAAACAAAAAAGGACGTTTCGCTTCTCTCACAGAAGCTTCGTCAGCGGTAGACAACCCTGAAGTCTCCGTGAAGACTCCGGGAAATTGCTCTGCGCTAAAAAGCTGAGCGTGGCCTATTTGAGGACTGGGTGGGGATGGTTAGTCACGCCCCTATGGTGAAGAGGCCCATTGATTTCTAAATTCCCTATCGTTGGGTCTTGATTAGGCCTATTGTTTGGGCTAGCGCTGAATAGCTACTTTCAGTTGGCATGATCAGCATGTCTATGTCCCTTGGACAAAGAAAACGTCCCGCTACGACCCATAGTCAGCAGTATAGACTCGGTTACTTATAATGTAGCTAAACACTTAACCTCAATTTTGTCGCCTCTTGTGGGCCTGAGCAAACACAATGTTGAAAACACAGGTGAATTTGTCAACAAAATTAGGGACCTAAAAGTAGAGAATGACGAAAAAATCGTTTCTTTCGACGTCACAGCCCTGTTCACCTCGGTGCCCACAGCCAGGGCTGTAGAGGCTGTTAGAAGAAAACTTTTAGATGACAAAACGCTAGCTGAAAGAACTAAACTTTTGCCGGAACACATTTGTGAACTGTTAGAAATATGCCTC